TCCGCCACGTCCAAATAAATAATACAAATATAATAAATCACTTGAACCCATATATAAAATGTTGAACAGTTAATATGTTATGACTTGGTGTTTTTTTTATAAATCTTCCAAAATTATTTGGAATCCAAGTTACCATTTTATCAATTTTAATATAATATATAAAATTGCAAAGCTATAGATACAATTTTTTTATTTTACCCATTTTTATATTAATCAGATGTATAATTGTTAATCGCAATGTTTAAATAAAAAATTACATGTTGAAGGATATGTTTTTATATAATTGGGAAGCCCCAAAGGAAAATATACATAATAAATATTTATCGGTGTCTAACTGGCATTTTATTCCTTTTTAATTGGCTTAGCGAATCGACCTTTGAACAATATGGGACCATCTTTATGAACTATATAAAAACAAGAAAGGAATGTCCATTATATTTAGTCTAAATCCGAGCACTACTAACTGTTTTCATAGATTGCACCACGGCAGCACCTTCAGAGCCCTCAGCAGTAATTTTCAATTTAACTTTATGATTTATTTGAGTTAGATCCAAATGTGAATCCTTTTCTATATTGTTCATACCACCCCTAATTAATGGTACAAATTAAATCATATAATTAAGTTATTTTAAAATAGTATTTATATCTATGGTTGTAAAACTTTTAATTGAATTTATAGCTAAAGAAAATAAGATAAATATTAATATATTAATTAAATAGGTATTAAAAATTTCGGGCTTGGCCGGGCTTGAAAAATTAGGCCCGATGCAGATCACTATCATTAAGTTCCTTTTTTTTATTAAAAAAAATGAATATATATACATATTTCATTCTTTCAATTATGATTTTACTTTATGTCCATAATTTTTCCTTTACCTTTAGAGGGAAAAAATGAAATGTATCATGATTCTAGTTGTAAAGGTAAAACTAATCAGCTTCCAACATGTAGGATTGGGTTACAAAATAGTTAAAACCTCACTAATTTTAAACATATGTTAGATTTCAACCGTATTTATTTTGTTTTGATAATCGTAGATATCGGTTAAAATCGAATCGTAAACATGAGTAACGCGTTATATTTCATTATTATAAGATAATCAGAAGTTATTGAATCTGAATCAAACCTTTTATAAAATTATAAAACTTAACTATTATAATATTATCTATCAAACTGTATATTTTAAATTGTTCTTTCTACAAATCAAATTTTAACAAACTATTGTAGAATTCCCATTTACAAAATTAAAATTAACCTCCCAAATTTTTTTTTAAGGTTATCTTTACTTTTCGACATCATAAAAAGAATGAGTGATTTGTTTCATAATATTTCCGACAAGGTTCAAGAAATACAACAATAACCTAAACCTATATATAAAATGGTATGGAGGAAAAAATAGTTTGTTAAGATTCTAGTGTCAAGGTAAAACTAATCATTTTCCGATATGGATAGGGTTACAAATCGTTAAACCTCACATTTTTTTTAGAAACATCTGATACATTACAACCTTTTTCACTTTGTTTTAATAATCAAGTAATATCGGTTAAAATTGTCGTAACCAAGAGTATAGCGACATATCTAATCATTTTAGATAAACAGAAATTTTTGAATATGAATCAAACCTTTTATAAAATTTCTAAAACTTAACTATTATAAAATTATATTATTTATCAAACTGTATATTGTTCTTTCTACAAATCTATCGGATTTCCATTTACACTATCAAATTTAATCCCATTTTGTTTCATAATTTTTCCACCACGTCAATTGCTTTTATAAATAAACTTTGGACAAATTGTCGGTCTAGAATTGGAGTGCTACACTAGTCATTTTCAAAATTTTTGAGTTATTTATTCCCAATATATATATATAAATAAAAACTAGATTAAAAAAATATTAATTTTTGTCAAAGTTATAGCAGCATGGCCTAATCCTATATTATCTCACTTAATCACGTGTTGTATTTCCCTCCTTCTTTAATTTTTTGCTCTCAGGACTCTGACAATTTTTATTGTACTTCTAAATATGGTTTAATAAGTCCATTAATAATTTTATATATGAAATTACTTCTAGTTAGTGGATATTTTTGTATTTGCTATATTATGTGAATTAATTGATATTTATGTTAGAAGTGTGTAAAACCTCTTTAAAATGATATCATTTTTTTGTCATTCAATCACCATGTCTAACCTACCTTTAGTCATACAAAATTTTATCAGGCTTACTTGTATCATTTTTATCAACATTTTATTATGGTAGAAAGTTGATAACATTATGACATACTTTTTTCTTCTTCTTTGATATGATAATTATGTTATTTTTTCATATCAGCTCATACGAAAAATGATATTACATTTTAAATAATTTTTACTATATTTACTTCCAGAATCTGCAAACATCATAATTAAACGATAAAAAATAATTTATAAAAAAATTACATATTTATACTCTGATGGGGTTCTAAACCCTAATTAGTTATAAAATGCTTATTAAAAGCTACTCCAAAATATGTAATTTGGAATACAGATTTCTAAGATATATTTTATGAAGCTACTGAAGATTTCAAATCACAAAAATAAACCCTTTTAAATGTAATATCAATTCTTGAGAGCCTGGGGTTTCGTATATTTCTATAGAATATTGAAGGGTTAAGCTTTACTTGCTCATTAAACATAGAGGAGATTTATATAGCCCTTCAACTTCATAGAAGCAAAGTAAATGAAAGAAAACTAAGGAATGTGGTGAGGCCTTCATCAATATTAAATGTGATTTGAAAAGAGCAACGATGGTTTAGAATGATCATTCTAATAAATGTACATTTCAATGTCATAAAAAAGTTAATGCAGATCAGAGTAAAATTATTAATGAGGCTTTTTGTAGCTTAGCTGATAAAACTAAAAGATTTTTATAGCTTGTTAGGACTCCATGTAGGAGAGGGGTAAAAGATTCTTTAAATTATAAAATTCATACTAATATTTTTTTTAAAGTGGAGAATATTAAAATTAGAGTTAGCTGAAAATTTTTCTTACAAATACTTGAAATAAGTAATAAAATATTAGTTATTTCTTTAAAAATTTATTCTGAAGACAAGCGAGGATTATTTTGTCTTGGACGTCCGTATTGATAGGAATTAGTAGGGTATTTGAAGTCGGGTGAGGGAAATTGCTTTGTAGAATGTATATTAGTAGTAGGGAATAAGAATTTTATTTAAAACAAATTTTTATTATGAAAAGTTAACTGATATTATAAAAATCTCTTTTTATATTTAAAGTAAATCAATTATGTAAATATATATCATATAAAATCACGATACCTTCGTTATTTACAATTTATTAACAAAATAATCTAAAAATATAATATTTTTATCATTTTTTAAGGTTATTAATAATTTTAATGCTGGAAAATGATTATGATAAAATGTGTACGACGTAAAAAATAAGATAATGACAAAATGATATGCAGGGACCAAATAATAAAATCTGGCAAACTTCACTCATTAAAATAAATTAACATTTGCAAATCAATTTTATTTTCACTACACATAACAGACAATTTAATGAATTATCACATAAAATTAATGTAATATAAATTTTTTTTTTCTCCGTAATTTAATTCCCGCAAAATTTTCAACTAACTCAATATATATAGAACGCAAATATATTTTAATGCACTTTAACCTCGAGATGCTTTTCCCAGAACAATCATGGTTACATATAGAGATTGCAGTGAATAAATTAGGAAATATAGATTTATGTTTATTTGAAAATATGTAATTGATTTGAAAGTGTTTCTTTTATGCAACAGCCTTCTTCAGAAGAGGAATAATTAAACTTCGAATTATTCTGGTTGCGAATATATCTTCTAAGGCATCGTTTTTAGTAGCCCTTAAAATATTCAATAAAATTTACAGATAAAAGCCCTACCTAATAGTGCTCCTCCCAACTCCTATTATACTTCATAATTTATATTAATTTTTAAAAAAAATGTGCAAGAAAAAATTAATATAATAAAGATGGTATAGCTATGGCGCAGGATCATTATTGAAATTAAAGGTGTTAGGAAATTGTAAAGAGTCTATCGTTATTAGTATAAAAGGAGAGAAAAATAAATAAAGGCAGCATGTTAATGTATTTAGAGAGAAGCGTAGAAGTGCCTGATGATATATTCTGTTTATTGATATTCTTTTATAACTTTTACACATTGTACTTCATAGAAAAACTATCGTTTTTGTTAGCCAGTTAAACGATTCAAGGATAATCAAAACTTTTTTTTATATCAAAATTCTATATTTTATGGAATATCTTCTTTTAATCTCCATTGTTATACATAATCTTAATTTAGGTATTACAATATTATATTTTGAATAGATAAAAAAAATCTTTTTTAAAAAATAATCAAATATTGCGGACCTCAATCCTGAATAAACTTATTTTTGGGGGAATGAACATCGAATTTTAATAAAAAATAAAGCACATTAATCAGTTTGAGGCAGTGGCGTATCTACGGGGGTGGTTTTCGGGTTTGGACCCCTCCCAGAGCAAAATTTTTTTTTTAGATTATACGTTCAAAAGACTTAAAAGTGATTTTATATCAATTATATTTTTCTGGTTTTGATGTTTGTGAAGGATATTATATTACTATTGAAATTATTCTGGATAGTATTATAATAAAGTAATTGAGAATAATCTACTCCCAGCTTTTATATGTATGGACCCCCTCTAAGGAAAATTCCTAGCTACGCCACTGGTTTGAGGTGATATATCTTTCTAAAGTGAAAATAAAAAGATATAGTTATTTAAATATTATAGAATTATACCAGGGTTAGACAATTTTTCAAAAAATATATTTGAATACAGATACAAATACTATTTAAAATATCTAACACATAAGATATTTTTGGACAAACAAACAGACAAAATGTATAAAACTTTATTATGTTTTATTCTATACGATAATATAATCTGTAAAAAAATTTGCGAAAATTAACTGAGGTAGTAAATAGACAGAACTTTATATTTTTTGTTGTATAACATAAAATAATGCCATAATAATATTTGTAAAATAAAACTGTATTATAATATTTGGAAAACGTTAGTTAAAAAAATAATAATATAAATATATTTTTAAACAAGTGTGTATATGCAGTATTAATCGTGCATTATTTAAGCCTATTCAGATGATTGGAAACGAAACATGACAATTTAATCCACACGGAGATTGATTAACCCTCATGTGGTGTAAAGTCAGGCAGACAAAATATTTGTCTTTTTAAAATCGAAATAACTACAAAATTATGAAATTATTCTCAACATTTAAAAATTCTTTTTTAAAAAAAACTGCCCTTGATAGTAGGTAGTGTGGGGCTAATTTTTTTTTCTCTTCCTAATCGATATAAGCTAAAAATAATATATGACTATTTGATTTTTTTTTATCATCTACAGATAAATTGACTAAATAACAAATTTTGATTAACTTTATAATCGATTATTATTAATATATTGACTAACTAAATTATTTTTTATCATATTTTTGAAAATATGTATTCAGGGTCTTGACGAAACTGGCCTTGTTCCCAGAAGATTTTTGAATTTTGAGCAGAGAACAGTATTCTTTGAGAATTGGTATCGTCATTTTTGGAAACTAATTCGTTATAAACATATAAATAAGTGTTGTTACTAAAAGGATAAAGCCAATCATTCAACATATAAATTCATTAAAATATTATATCTTGAATTTTAAGTCTAAGATCCTTTTTCTTTAAAATGGAAATAAAATGGGATATACATATAGGTGAAATAGAAGATCAAGAAGAATAGATGCATCAGTAATTTGCGAAACTGGTTCAAAAATGTATTAGTTTTTTGTATTTTATGGATTGGTTCGGGAGGGGATGGGCTTAACTTACCAAAGCAATAAGGCCTAAATCAATTTTTTTTTCTATAACCTTGAGGCTCGACCCGATAAGAATAATCGTTAAAGAAACTATTAAATTTCCTTTTCACTCTTATTTATGGCTGATTTTGCAGATCGGACTTTAACAAATAGGGAATTTTTTTAAATCAGCTGATTAGTAAATAAAAAAATAATATTTATAGTAATAAAACCACAATTCTTAAGATTTCAGGTAGACGCCAAAATTAAAAGAGTGTATAAACATTTAAGTAAAAATTTAGTTGTCTCATGTCATAACAAACACCTAAACTTGTCGATAGTAATTTAGAAAGAATAAGAATTACATTTTTTTTTTAAATTAATTACTATAAAATATTAATACTTCGTTATTTTCGTAACATTGCCTGATATGGCTGAGATCCTTCTTAATATCCAATTCGACTTTCTGTTTGCGCTAAAAAATAATTGAAAGTTAGTATTATAGTAGAAGGATATTTATTTGTTTTAAAAATATCGAATTCACCATGACACATACATTAACCACAAATTTATATTATGCTATGCTCTGCATAGAAGAACCTAATTTTAATAAACTTGTTCGGTATACTCTAATAAATAAATATCATCAGTTGGTTACTTTGGCGCCAAAAATGAGCCCCAACCACTAATACTGGTATGTGTGATAGGCCTGAACCTGGCAAATATGGGATGGGATTAAATGATAAACACAAAAGATCATGCGATCTTCATTATTAAAATGGTAGCTGTATTAACCTAATTAAATATCTCAGACCTAACTCACATCAAGCCTTAACCATAACATATTTGGTTTATGAAGCCTTTTTAAGATAAATATGTAATGTAAATGTGGTTATTGCATGGCATAAAACCTTTGAAGAGCCAGCCGACTCTGTTTCTTCATCTTCGGATTGCGACGTTGGCAAATTTAAAATCTTTTTGAACTCGGCCACGGGTTTAGCCAATCTTTCCTCTATGATCTTAAAATTTGGCAGGGTCGAATCTACGAAAGCGTGCTTTTTATCGACCGCTTTTATGGATGGTCTATCCAAGGCCAAAGCTTCTAAAACTCTATAATGCCTTTGTAGTACTTTAATGATGATTTGAGAAATAAAATTTTATAAATTGAAGCGTTAGCACAGAATGAGCAAAGGATTAATTAGACAAGGAAGTAAAGTTAAAATTTATAAATTAACACATAAAAGGGCCGTGTGAAACATATATCTTAGAAGCTACTATAGATTTTTATAACACATTAAATCTCTAACCCTAAATTGATTTTAAAAAATTATTATACAAAATTTTCATAACATTTATTAAAAAGAGTGCCAAAAAATATAAGCAAAATTGGCCTAAATATTTCCTTTTTTTAAAAAATATTATTAAATATAAATTTAACATGCAATAAATGAATACTATTTGTTTGATTTTAATATTTAAGTATTAGTATAAAAGAAATTTGTTTTCAAATAATCGTGATATATAAGCTCTTAGAAAATGCGTTTCTGTTTCCAAAAAAAATAAAAATCATTTAACATAAATACATTATCTAGTTTTTTTGGATTAACTATCATCTCTCAAGTGTAGCTTATCCCATAAAACTTCCCGGGGGCTTAGGATAGTTATAATGTGATAATTTATGCACATTTAATTATAAAAAGACCCATTATCTTCGAGAATTTTATTTTATAGCATTGCGTAAAATTATTTTAAAAAAAGTTTACCAAATAAAATAATTACTAATTCCAAAAGATGTGTAACGGATTATGGAGAAGCTTTACCCTGATTACCCCCCTCATTCATAGTCAGCGCTAATTCGTGGCAAATTATACAAAATACGCTTAACTGTGAATGAGGGGTAACGTATACTACACTGAAGAAAAATGATGCGCGTATTAATATATAACCTGGGTTTTCGAAATTCGTAACGCTGTAAGTAAATTTCAGGCGTCGAACTATTTCTTTCGCTTTTTCTAAAGACGCGGAAGCCACTTTTTCGCCTTGTCAAATTAAAAAAATCAATAAATGTTTATAGCGTGAAATAATGTGGCACGCGTATGTCTTATGGTATTCTAGGTCTGAGCTCTTTTTCTTATTTTTTTTAGGTTTTGATGTATCATATGCGTTGCGTTATTTATTCCCTCCAAACTTACTATTTTTACATATATGCAGAATGATTGGAAGACAAATTAGCAGTAAAGTGGCCACTTTATTGTAACTCGTAATAAAGTGGCCAGGCAAGACCATAAATCAATTACAAGTTTTATCTTATAAAACGGCAAAATATCAAATTTATATATATAAATTCGTAGTTTATCAAAATTTTGTGAGGGTTAGGACACTCCTTTATGGTAAGCGCGAAATACAGGGTTATCGTTCAAGCAATTTCTAAATAATCGCATTTTATAAATCAAGCTTCTCTTGAGGATATCGTGATAATTCGCGCTTACTATAAACGAAGCCCTAATTGTCATTTTGGGGCGGGGGTAGCGACCAACTACTGTCGGTCTATCTTTGATTCAGAGAGTGTTTCAATTTTTTTTAAAGCATTTCCAACGAGCTCAATTTTTTTTTTAAAAAAAACTTAATTGAAAATTTTTAAATAAAAATAAAATAGAAAAACTTATTTCGTATTTCGAATTGTCCGGGTAAGAGAGTTTCCTAAAATCTTCGGCGTAGGGCAGATACTTCACGTGGAAACCAGGGGGTTCCATTTGAAGACCTTCTGAGTTTAAATCTTCAAGCTATTAGCCAAAAAATGAAAATAATAGAATTAATTAAAACCCTAAGGACTGGTGTCCTTAGTGATGTTGTTAAAAAGCCCGATTCGGAGATTTTTAGAATATTATGTAAGCATGGAGATTTTATTCTCATAGCTGGCAGTGGAAACCTCTATTTTGCTAAATCTTGAGGCTTTAACATAATATTATTTTGGCTAAAATCATAATAGGGCTTTTTAACAACACTGGTCCTAAGCTAGTCTTAATTTTTTGTTCTTAATCTCGCATAGGGAGTTGTATTCAGAAAAACAGCCAGGAAACTTGTCTTTTTTTTAACTATAAATAATTTCCATATGATATAAGGGTAATGATACCTTTAAAAATAGGTTTAAAGATGGCACACATTCTTATTTTTGTCTAAAAATCTTATTCTATTCAGATAGCTATATATAAGAAATTCTAAAAAGGGAAGAAAAATGGATGGCCTAAGATTGACCCATTATTATGTCTTTCTTAAAAATAAATGTAAATAAAAAATCGTAATGTTTAAATATATATCGTATGGGGGATTCGGAATCTCTTGATTTTAAACTTTACCGAGGGGCGATTTAAAAAATTTTAAATTTCGATTTAACCGGAAATGTATTCTATCATGTGCAGAGTATTTATCCTATAAATTTCAACTGATTTCAGCCATAGACATTTTTAGTATTTTTTTAAATTTATAATGAAAAATCCATATAAAAATTAGTATAAATTAGAAGTAGTTCTAAAGTTCGTGGCAAAATTGGAAATAGGGTAAATACTCTACACATACTAGAATACATTTCCGGTTAAATCGAGTTTAAAAAATTTTTAAATCGCCCTCGGTAAAGAGATTCCGAATCCCCACGAGATTCAGAATCCCCGTATGACATATATAAAACTCTTTTACGTGTTTGTTTAAAAAGAAGAATAAATAATCAGATATTTTAAAAGATCTTAAATTTAGCCAAATTAAATATTTATCAGGAATTATATGACATTAATTTATTTTTTTTTCTATGGAATTATTAAAATAAAAAAATGTATTATTTATTATTAATACGTACTTATTTTAAATAACAACTTATATGAATAATGATGGTAAAAAAAATGACATATTTTTTAAATTTTACAAAAATCTTTATTTCTTCTTAAAAACTTTTAATAAATAAAAAAAATAATATAATTACAATAAAATATAAGTAATTCTTGTTGGACATAAAGGTATTTTAAAAAAATATAATTTAACAATTAAAATTAATACAAATGATTATATGAGAAAGCAGAAAAATAAATTCTAAATAATTAAGGGAAGAGGAAAAAGATCTAGGTTATTCCGACTGCTCAGGGAATGAACACCCATGAAATATATGAAATTAATTAGATTTTATAATCTGAATTTCTATGCGTTGACTTAAGTAGACACCTTCTTTTGGGTCTCCTGATTTAGTTCTTAAGGCTCTGCCAAGCTTTTTAATTAGGTTAAGAGCCTGTCTTAAAAAGGATGTTAAGGTTGTAATAACAACTGGTACGAAATTATATTCATCAGGAATATTCATATTTTTGTTCGTTTTAAAATCTTGTGTATTTTAAAATGTCCTTATTGATGTTGGAAGGTGGGAGGGGGTCAGCGCAAGAGAAATCACATCCTGGAAATCGGCTTTTCTCCCAAGGAATTTGTGTAATTCCATCGGGTCGTCTCCGATCAGTAAAGAGACCTGGAGATTCTAAAATGGCAGGAAAACCAGCGGACTGTAAAGTCCGTTTTATGAGAGCATTGCATCTGTTATGTCGGATTGAACGTCCACTGCTAGATGCAATGGAGGCAATGACGGCCAGTTTGACTTACTGGCTTCTTGCACTTGGCACACTCATATGAGAATGAGGCAATCACATTTAAGCAAATGGGCACTGCAAAGCTGAATTTTTGGTTTGACAGATCGAGCTCAAGACTTTTAAAGGGAATGACGTCTAGGTATTCATATCCAGAACCTTGGTTGAGAGAGGCTAATAAGGCATGATCTTCACATAGCAGGGTCGAAAAGAGGTAATCAACGGACCTTAATCATTAAATTATCCCAATCCTTTCATGGAAGGCTGGAGGTTGGCATTCATCACCGCAGCGGCGCATCTGGCAAGGATAGGTGTTCAGTTATTGTTTTGGAGCTTGCCAATATGGACGAGACGAAACAAATAATCGAGTAATCCTATACCTCCTTTATCCTAGGAAAGAGTGGCTTGATGCCATGAATTGGAGTTAAATTTGAGATTAGTTATTTTTCCATAATGTTTTTATTATGGATTCATATGCTTTTAAAGGTTCAGGATGTTAAAAATGGCCGTTTACCGTAACACTATGAGAATCTTCGGTAGAAGTTTTTAATTAAAAAGGAAGATTTATGTGTGGGAAGCTGTATGAGTAGCTCTTTCATATTGTTTAAATTATTAGAAGTAGCTTGGAAAAAGGTTTCAACCGATACGTAACCTCTAACTGATGATCCAAGATATGTTAGTTCTTCGGCCTTAAAATTGATTTTAGCAATGCATACAACATAATGAAACGATCTGCCTTCCTAAAATCCCCAGTTACATTTTAAATTGCTATGCGAATCCCTCCATCTTACAATATAGTTAATATAGGCTTTCTTATTGAGAAGAAATTCAACAGGGTGATCCCCTAAGCTCGAATTTTATTCTGTCTAGGAATAGACAATCTAGTTAAAAAAAACAGCTGCCGATTAGATCTTCATCTCTGGTACATATATGACGAGATTATAAGCGGTAGTCTAGAAGAAATAGCCAAAGCCTTAGAAATTTTACAAACGGATGGGCCAGACAAAGACCTTCTCCTAAACGTCGACAAAACAGAATTCTGCCAACTCACCTAATCTCCCTAATGTCACGCCTTTAAAGAGCTTAAGGCCAAAGAATTAACACATTTTGGCTCACCAGTTGGAGGTTACTTGGCGGTTGAAGCCTTTTCCCAAGCTACTTCTAATTTTATCATTATGGAGGAGCTACTCATACAGCTTCCCACACATAAATCTTCCTTTTTAATTAAAAATTTCTTCAATATACCGAATATCCTCTATGCTTTACAGTCAACGGCTATTTTTAAATATCCTGAACCTTTAAAAGCTTATATGAATCCATAATAAAAAAACATTATAGAAAAAATAATTACACCCATAGCCTTATCAATTAGTGGTTTCATCTCGTCCAGATTAGCAAGCTCCAAAATAATAATTGTATCCTTACCAGATGTACTGCTCCAATTTTATTTCCCATATTCATGAAATCATCACTAACTCATAAAAGTGAGGGAAGGCCTCATTTATCATAAAATTACATTATTTTAATTAACTGAAACCTCTTTTTGTTCTAGCAACACATCTGTCAATTCTAAAAATAACTCAATAAAATTTTATGGAGAGAGACGACTTATCATTATTCTCTGCAAATCTCATCAAATTATATCAACAGCAAGATTAAACACATTCAAAGTTGAATAAATAAAATTAATACTTTTCAACATGTAAAAAAAACTTTTTTATATTTTATTTTAATATTTATACAATTCGACAAAAACATGAAAACATCATCATTTTTTAATTAATTTGAGTCAAATGTTGTACTTCAAAGCTGATGTTTAAAATGCCTGCCATTAGCTTGAATATATGGTCTAAGGCGCTTTCGATATTCATTGATTTTACACAATCACAGCTGCATATCTTTGTGGATAATCCGATGCATTATGGCTTGTAAAACACCAGTTTATCAGGATTGTTGACGAATGTATACCAAATCGGCCTTCTTGGCTCAATATGAGTGTTTTAAATAACATTCCCTATACTACAAGCTGTGCGTGATCTACCACTACCATACCGCCTTTTCTGCTTCTGGTAGCATCAATTTTTGCAGTTAGGAAATTCCTTCAAAAACATTTTGGCTCGGTAGTATTTTTATTGCCTTATTTTAATTAAACTCAAGTCATTCATTTTTTACTGAAAACAATTTTATTTATTTTTTATTATCGCCTGCTTAAATGTAAGATTTATTATTATAAAAAAATTACTTTTTACATGTTGGAGAGTTGAATTTTGTTTGTTCAAACCTCGTACATTACTTTAAGCCTTGTGAATAGGATTTGATGAAATTTGCAGAAAACATCGAATCCCTCTCTCAATCTTAGAATTGATAGATTTATTGCTAAAACAAAAAGGGCATCAGTTCAATTGGAACACAGTGAATATATATACAGTTAAAGCCATCGATTCATAGCAAAAATATATAATAATACTCATATTTTACAACTAATGATCCGACAATGGGCTAGTTTTTCTCTCCTTGGTCTACTGAAAAGTGAAATATATATTATTTTTTTCTTTCTATTCCATTGCTTTTGAGAATATGAATCTCCCCAAAAAGATTTTTTTAATTTTACTTGTATTTTTTGGTATGTGAGGGGTTAAGTATTAATTAAATTTTTTTAAAATATAAATCAATTAAACCTGGCATTAACCAAAAATAACATTAAATTATAAGAAACTCATACTCCTCAGTAATTTATATAACATTATATCCCTAGAGAATAGTTAATTTTATTAGGCATTTAAAAACATTATTTTGCATTGCCTCTCTGTACACTTTTCCGGTAATTATGGGACTGGCAACTTGTGCAAAATATTTTTAGAGGGTCGGGCCTGAATATCGCAAATATATCAAAAAGCGTAAACATGCAACTTTATGTGTTTTTTCCTTCCTTAAAAAAATTATAATGGGCTGGGTCGGACAACTAATATAAAAATTATTTTACGATGCAAAAAAAAAAGCGAGAAAAAATATACAAAAATTTTCACGGGGTAGTTTGAACCCAGTCTAATTTGGTTAGAAAATAAAAAAAACTTCGCATTTTTTTTTACTTCTTTCTTTTTTTAAATAAACTTTATTTTTATTTTTAAACTTTAATTCTTATTTTTATTTTCTTTAAGAATTATTCTCTTTAAAAAAAAAATATATATAACCTGAGGAATAAGTGCTACCATGCGAGGGACCGAATATTTTCTTGATATCAACGAACATATAGCAACCACTTCCTTTGCCAGGCATCTCAGTATTAGGACTCGGAGTAATTTAGAACTACCGTATATTCGCTAGTTTTTTGTTTTGGAAATCAGTTACATTATAATAAATAGTATCGTATTCATCAATAGTGTTGAAAATCTCTCCGTTTGAGCTGACTTTAAGCCTGCTCTAAAATGGCTTAATAGATTTTGACCAAAAAAGTATCGGCTTGCCAACAATGTTATGAGGAGAAAAAAAAATTTGCCTCAAAGCTAAACTGATCTGTTTCGGATTTTAGGGTCTTGAGAATGAGGAGATTTGACAACAGAATTCGAATATTAAATTAAGCAAAAAAATATTTCGTTAAAATTAAATTCATAAACTTTCAAAAATTTGATCGCAAATTTTAATCAAATCGTTATGTTAAAATTTTTAAAATTTGTATATTTTCTAGAATTATGTTTTGGACATGTTTTTATTTTTATATTTAAAATAGCCTATTTAATTATTTTCATTAAAGTTTGCAAAGTTTGTGAATTTAATCTTTTTACATTTTGGACATAGCCTTTTAACTTCTTATTTTAAAGAGATTAATAAAAAAAAAAAAATTAATTTTGAAAATGAATGTGAGTTGAAAATTTTACACTATCATCTGGATAAATGAAGTGACATGGTCTAACGAACCAATAGGGTTTGATAAATGACGCTGGCTTGAAACCGACTAGCGTTATACCTGAATAACAATTTTAAACCGAATTATAGTGTATCCATGCATAAGGAAACTATCGTTAACTTTCAAAAAAGCTGGAAACATAACATATATTATTTATTATACCTGTTTATTTGGATGAACTCAAGTATATACAACATAAAATTTTATATCTAAGATCCAACTTTGTGTATATTCGTTTCTTCCCAATTTTTAAAAACAAATTTAGACAAATATAATAATACTCAATTCAAAGCAAATATTTTTATTTTAATCTAATATAGATAGTAAATATTACCTTATAAAAAAAATTATTCTAATTAATCCCTCGCGTATAATATTCTTATAAATGACGCGTGGAAAATGATTTAATAAATAATTGATTCTTATAAGCAAGCTAATTCTCAATGAAAAGTTTTTCATGAGCTTAAATTTAGTCGAACAATTATTCGGGATATAATTGATAAATTTTCTAGAACCCCTTCTTTTTTTATTAATTTACAAATTCCAAAGAAAAACCTTGTTAGACTTAAACTAGGGAAGATAGAATCTTTTAAAGAAAAATCATTCTTGCGTTAGGGAAAACGGATTTCTGCTACAACATGTCAAAGGAGAATTCACAAAATGGGACATTATTCTTACAAATAAACCCTGTTTCGTAGTAAACAATGGTAATATTTGGAATATTGTAATAAGAAATAAGGATAACGCCGTTCATGATTGTTTAAAACGAACCATTAAAAATCCAGAGAATTATGATAAGAGGATTTATCAATTTGATAGGTGTCGGAAGTTTGACATTAATAAATGTAACAATAAACGCCGTTTAAAAACATTATCTCTTTACCCAATCATCCATTCCTTATTCTAATGGCGGGAGTGCGCCCCAACAAGTCGCGACACCATGCTGCGAAATAGACTATAAAAAATGATTATCTGATAGAAGGATTAATATTTCGGATTGCCAGTATCAATTACTGATTTAAAATCCAATTAAAACTTTATGGAATATTATTTAAAGAAAAATTTTTTAATTTTAAAATCTGCCCTTACTATTAGGGCGAAAGAAAACTATGGAAGATAGATAAAATTCTATTTCATGGAAACTATAAGGAGATCTCATAAATTCAATGCTTGATAGAATAATAGCTGTTGTATAGGCGAAAGTGGGTGTAAACTAATTTTTAAATTCAAATGACGATTATTTATGAATGATGCATGGAATTGAACGTAAATTATGAAGCGCTTATATTTTTAAACATTTTTTATAAAAATTAATTTATATTTTTATATTCCATATTACAATTATTTGGTTCGAAATATATAAATTACGAATGAGCGAATATATTATATGAAGTTGGGGTGATAGAATTTTTTATAATCTATAACAACTGAGTGTTAATGAGAATCCTGTATTTGCTTAGTGTATTAGAAGATTTTGACATCGAAATGACATGCAGTCATTAAATTCCTTGAGCCCGTTAACTAGAAAACTCCTCAAATTTGACTAATAAAAACACTATGGACTTAAAAAATATTCTCGTTAAATTATAATGTATAGTGACGCAAAATCACTCTATTTGACCCGATTTTTAAAAACCGCCTAACTCAATATTTTAGCCAGATAAAATATTGCCAGCACTCTACATTTCGCTAATAGAATTTCCAAACCTCCGTGCCATCTATGAGCAAAATCTTCAGGCTCGCGTAATATTTTTTCTGGATGAAATAATAAGAATCGTCTCAAATGGAGGCGATTTTGCATCATTAATCATTTACATAACAAAATTAATTTTTTTTTTTAAATATCTTAGTGCCTAAATTGAAAAGATTCTATAATATTGTTCCTCTAACATCCTTCTGCCATCAATAAGAGAGAACAGCGAAATAGAAAGACTAAAAATATAAATGAATATTTATTTTATTTTTTTTACCCGGGGGTCCAAAATCTTTCAAATTTTTAATTTCCTCCACGTCGAATATGATTTTGCCGCCGCCGAACTCCATATATCTCCTCTCTTTAGGCGTTTCAATAGCCGAGACGCCCTTTTTTTTTAAAAAAAATAATATTAATAATTTCCAAAACAACGTTAAATTATTTATCCATTTCTATACAATTTTATAATATTAAATATTTAGTTACGAAAAAATTCGCGGCCTGTTGGACATATTCAGAGCAGGGGAGAACTGGCGATAAGGGTAGGTTGGCAAAATGGCCACGCGCCGAGACAAAATACAGAGAAATTTTTTTGGGGGAGACGAGTTAATCAACATGAAGAGGTGGTCATATTATTAGGTTTCAACTCTAAATAATTAAGACCAATAAAGATAGTCTAAACAGTTTATCAAACTTTATTTTAAGTGACTGGCTGCATTCAGATCGAGCTAAGAAATGTAGTTTTATTATTTACCTAATCAACTCTATCTGAATTCCGCTTCCCACAATTATTTTTTTGAATTGTGGAGCGGTTCGGCTTTGATTGACCTTCAATGAGCTCTTCTTCGTTTTCCAAAAAATTATCTTTTATCCAATGTTAAATCCCAGAATTATGGGCTAACGGTCTGCGCCTTTTATTTAAAAAATTTTTTTTTTAACCCGTTTGCTTATCCGTCTAATGCCTAATTTTTTTCCGCCTTCCACTATTCATCTCTAATAAAGGTTAAGGGTTATTTCGTTTACGTTTTAAAAATGGGTGTAGATATTATATTTAAGAGCCATTTATTTTAATTAAGTAATTATTATTTTTTAATGCAGTTATTTGTCGACCATGGTAATGTTTTGCTTTAGCAGCAATCAAGTGGGTGAAACAAAAAACACGCCTCTTTCACTAACTCTTAAACGGCTTAGCAAAGTTTTTATCCTAAAATATTCGTCTCAATCTTCGACTTGGTAACATTCGAGGTTCTAAGCCGTATTGGGGTCGGTCAATGCTAGGCAATTTAAACACTAGATGTAAGAAATATTACGGACCTCTTTGTCTTCCACTTTTGCATAGTCTTTTCTTATTTCCTCCAGAGTGTCTTTGTCTAATTTTATGGGTGCAGGAATTTTAGTAGAAGATACCAAGGCATATCTAGTTTTTTTTTCAAAGTTAAAAAGATTACATAGTTAATTGCAGACAAGATACTTTCTTTTTTAAAGGTTAGTAATTTTCTTATTGGGGAGGAGGGAAGAGCTAAAGAAATCTAAGCCGACCCAAATTTATCATTTTTGTGCATGGTTGAATTAAAATGTCATCTATTTTCCAGATAATGTTTCTTGAGAGACGCCCACCTATAAATTTATTTAGAAACATTTTTTTTAAAAAAATACTCCTTTTAGATTCTCTGTTTCATCAATAGAGATATTTTTTTTAATGACATTAATTTCTCTTTCATCAAATTCATGATAATCCCTCCATGTCAATCATGATGATAAGTTAAGAATTATTAGAATATTATAAAGAAATTTATCGTTAAAATAATTAATAAAGAAAAATAATACCTTACCTAAAACGTAGTTATAAAATAAATGGGCTATGAGATTTATATATATGTATATTGCATATCAATAATTAATATAAATAATACAATGAAACGGCGACAATAGTAGTAGGCCCGATATTAAACGGTAATTTCGAAACGGCTCGCTTTCGATAATCTCTTATTCGCAACCTTATAAAAGAAAACAATTGGTTACAATATAGTATTAATTAGTTTTAACACGGCATATCAGGATTATATAAGTTAATGCAAAAAACTCCACCTGAGGCTGCATTCAAAGTGGAGACGGATCCATTTTTTTACATCCGTTCCGTCAAAAGTCAATCTCATTAAAAATGGTATATATTTATGTTCATTTTTAAAAAAAATTATAAGTAACTGTTATAACTCTACAAAATTTGCCGGATACCTGACCCGTTTAGACGGAAGGTGTCGGAACGGACGCACTGTGAACATGTATATCATTTTTAATGAGATTGACTTTTGAAGAAGCGGATGTAAAAAACGGATCAGTGTCCATTTTGAATGCGGCCTGAGCCGATTTTTGATAATGGGCAAACTTAATATTTTGTCCAGATTACGCATGCCCTGAAAGATTTTGCTCATGGATAGCACAAAGGTTTAGACATCTATTAGCGAAATCTCGAGGTTTAGGCGATACTTTTTTTCTGATTAAAATGTTGAGTTAGCCGTTTTTTAAAAAATCGGCTCAATGGAGCCATTTTGTATCACTAATAGAATGTAACATGTTTAATAACATTCTGCACTTAAAGTTTGATTCTTTAAAAAAAAAATGTAAGTAAATACTTTAAAGTATGATATAAATAATATTCTTTAGGGTTGCCCGTGAGATAAATTTTTCTTCCTATCTCCTCCAGGAAGGAAAATGCCTCAAAATAAAATATAATCAAAATATCTAAAATATAGTGAGATTTTTCCTACAGCCTCCAATCCATAAAAAAAAATGTATTTCAAATTTTAACGAATTACGTTTGTAGTCGTAATTTATTTTTGCGTACGTAATAATGAAAGTTAAATTCCGCAGAAAAAATTTTAAAAATTTGTATTTTCTTATAAATTCATGGCTTAATGGATGAATGTATCGGTTAACATTTAAAGTATCGACCGATAACGACTGACTGATTGACGTATCGGTGCATCTCTATAATACCTAGACTCTAATTCGTCCAGCAATTCTTCGGACGTGGGATAATTTTCGACTTCCTCATCGTTCAGGGTTAAGAGTTCCTATTAATAAATGTGTATATTAAAAAAATATTTTTTAATACTATGTCTTAGTTCTCGTCATAAGCTTAATTTTTTTATTGCTGAAAGCAGCTAAAACACTCCTTTTTTTGGTACGGTTTATAAAAAAACAACATGTCATTTAAAATTATGTAAAATATAACTGAAAATATTCAATATTTATTTTTCAAGTCTTAAAAAACCCCGCATTGTATTAAGTTAAAAAGATGCGCTGAAAGGTTAGCTTAACTACTCAGTCTTGAAAATGTAAAAATATCAAATAAAATGCGATGGATAGATAATTATATTAAAAAGGAGAAAAATAATATATAGCTAATTAAATTTTATTGAATTCCAAACAAAACCAAAACAAATACTGATCAAATAAGCTAATTTATATAATATATAATTATTTTTAAAAAACTTTGTAAAATTTGGACATATCAAAAGTATCGGAAGCAGTTCCTTTCCCGTCGGGTGAATCGGAGAAGCCTATCAGCTGAATGTCGATATCCGATTCGTTAGCGTCCCTTGCTCGTTGAATCGCTTGTTTCTAATTTTTAAAAAAAATAAAGAAATTATAATGGATGGGGATTTTGGATTTCTCAATTTTAAATCATTTACTGGGGACGATTTTTTAAGTTTGAAAAAAAAAATATGATTTGACTTAAAAATAATTCCAGCGTGGTATAAGCCTCACAGTACGAAAATATATTTCCGGTCAAGATTACGCAAATTTAAAAAAAATTGCTTTTCAAATAAAAATGGATTAATATTGAAGGATTCCAAACACCTATATGGAACCCATATCTCGTAATCAGAGTTGTTAAATGAAATATCTAGATCCTGTATCTAGATATAAAAATGTGGTATCTGTATCTGTATCTAGATAGATTTTTGATTAAAATATCTGTATCTAGATATTATTTTAGACGATGTATCTGTATCTAGATCCATTTAAAAGGTATCTTTTAACAACTATGCTCGTAATGAACATTAATCGAGAAAAAAACTATGTTAAGGTTAACGTAAATTTACGTAATTTGTAGAGGTGGGGTGGATAAAATAATTTTCATAGGCCGATCCGATCTTACCGATATCGATGTCGATCATCAATATCAGCTGATACGATCTTTATTTAAGGATAAAATTTATCGATAGGGAATATGGAATAAACTAAAAATATATGATAGTATCAATGGAATTCATTCCGGCAAACGTGGTATTTTTTCAACTTTTAATCATCTTTTTTTTCGGTGGACATTTCCCAAATATCTTTAAAAATGGAAATTTATTCTAATTTGTGTAGAATACCTATTCTATGATTTTTAGATAAATTTGCTATAAAATTTTGAAATGCTTTTTTATTTATTGGTAAATTAAATTTATTAATATCAAACATATGAATGACTGTTACAAAGAAATAAATAAAATAATAATTTTGTGGCTATAATATAGAGCCAAATACAAACATTATAATGTTTTTTATTATTAATATAAACTATACTTTATTTTAAAAAAAATATTGATTTAAATCAAATTTAACATTACGCGATTAAAATTATATAAAATATATTCTAATCATCATGTGAGATGAGGCTGCCAAAGAAGCTGATGTAATTGGCCCTGTGAATTGCTATTGCGAGTCTGTCTTAAGAAGAAGCCTTCACGAGGTTCATCAGTTAGTTTGCGGATTAGCGATCCAAGTTCCTTGAAGAAAGAAAGAGCACGATTCCCAAAGGTAGTCAAGGTAGTGGAAATGATGGGAATGAATAAGTGATCTTGGGATATCTCTGAATATTTTGCAATTTTTAGAAGCTCCTTGTTCTCCAGAATGTTAAGGGATTGATTGGAAGGAGCCAATGGATCAATACAAGAGTAATCCCAGACCAAGAATTGACCTCGCTTCCAGGGAATTTGAGAGATCCCGTCAGGGCGTTTCCCAACAGATCTGAAAAGACCAGAGGGTTCGAGAATAGAAGGAATTTGAGCGGATCTCAGAGCTCTAAGAATTATAGAATTGCAAATGTTATGTCTAACGATGCGGCCTTTACATGAACGACAATGTAGACTATGCCTTCCATTACTCAAAACAGCAGAACTGCAGCCGGCACAGATGTGGGGTTGGGTTACTAAGCAATTTAAACGGATGCCTATAGCATGAGTTAGCTCATTTTGGGTCAATTGTAATTGTAAGTTCGCGGATGGAATGGCTTCGAGAAACTCATGTCCAGAACCATTAAGCAGAGAGGAGAATAGGGACGGTCCAATGATTGCATACTGGAAAGGAGAGATTCGACGCAGCTTGCAATAATGGGTTTATCCCAGTCCTTCTGCTTGTTCGTTTCTGGAATTGGGTGGTCGGCAATGAATCGAGATTTCAATTCAATGATGGCACTATCAAAGGAAGGGTCAGAATTTAAGGAATTAGGATTGACTAAATTTTTGGTTAAAAGACAGCTCGATATAAAGGCAGTTAAGGCAAGATCGGAAGGGGATATGATGCCTAGTCCTCCCATCTTGGTAGGAAGGGTGGCTTGTGTCCACGCTAATTCATGGAATTTTAGATTAAGGATACTTTCAATTAGGACTTTAATCCCATTTTCATAAATGCCTAAGGAAGTGGGAAATTTAAAAATAGGGGTAGAGCGGAGCGCGTAAAGAATTTTTGGGATATTGAAGAAATTTTTCAGGAGAAAAAAGGCTTTATGAGAGAGGAGAAGGGAAAATAGGTCAGTCAACACATTAAGGGTTTCGAGTGTAGATTGTAGGTAGGATGATATGGCTGTGTGTCCACCAACGGGAGCACCTAAGTGAGATAATTCCTCCAGAGTAATCTGTTTGAAATTATGAAAATTGTTTTCAGATGAATTAATTGGAATGAATTCTGATTTTTCATGGTTGATTGATAGACCAATGGATAGCCCTGCATCCTTGATTATCATTACAGCTTTATTTATTTCGTCGTTTGGACCACAAAGGATTCCATCATCGATGTACCATGCATGCAATGATAATGAACATGCCTCGTTAATAGATTTAACAATTTCATTGATCCCAAAACAGAAAAATAAAGAACCTAGAGGATCTCCCTGTTGTATGCCCTCAATCGAAGGAATTTTATAGGTATCAAATTGGAGAGTGGAAGGCTGTTATAGCATGAATAAAAGAATTTAGTGTAACCAGGAAAGAGAATACTCGATGCGCTCAGAAAGGAATTCCGAGAAAGAGTGTTATAAGCATTGTTGAAGTCGATTTTGACTAAAGATTCGTTGGTTGGCTGGGTTTCTAAGTGTATTCTCGTTAGATGAACAACAGCTTCACAGCCGTTGGTGGACACACAGCCATATCATCCTTCCTACAATCTACACTCGAAACCCTTAATGTGTTGGCTGACCTATTTTCCCTTCTCCCCTCTCATAAAGCCTTTTTTTTCTGAAAAATTTCTTCAATATCCGAAAAATTCTTTACGCGCTCCGCTCTACTCCTATTTTTAAATTTCCCACTTCCTTAGGCATTTATGAAAATGGGATTAAAGTCCTAATTGAAAGTATCCTTAATCTAAAATTCCATGAATTAGCGTGGATACAAGCCACCCTTCCTACCAAGATGGGAGGACTAGGCATCAGATCCCCTTCCGATCTTGCCTTAACTGCCTTTATATCGAGCTGTCTTTTAACCAAAAATTTAGTCAATCCTAATTCCTTAAATTCTGACCCTTCCTTTTTATTTATTATATTTTTTTCATACATCTTTTTTAAAAATGTATTTAATAAAATATCAATTTTTTTAAAAAATTTCTCCAAACCCATGTTACTCAATTAAAGTATATAAAAATGAAATATTGATTATATAAATATATTGGTATCGATTTGAAATGAATAAATATATTGATGAAGCCCCCATTTCCCAAAGATACAAATCCCCTTGAAAGGTGGAAAATGACACCATTTGGTATATATATCCTTATATTATCAAAAATTGCTAAAAGATTATCTGGCAATTCCCTCGACTAGCCCTGAAAGGATATTCTCAGAAGGGCGTTATGTTTTAACAAATCAACGTTGTCCACTAGATTAACTGACTATCCTAGCACGCCTGTGCCTAAAGAAATGAATGCGCATAGAGAATTTCAAAAATATATATTATTTTTCTTTATATACTATTACTAATTTGTTTGAGTTGAATAAAAGTTGAAAATCATGCTGTTTATTTATTTTTTATTTGATTGGCTTAGTAAAATGATTTGTGAAAATTATTGATTAAATCAAAATTTTTCAATTTCATATCTTTTTCAGAATTCAAAAAGGAAAAATATCAAGGCTCGGTTTTTTTTATATATTGCTTCATAGTTATTTTCCATATATTGTATTTATTTAAAAATACAATTAAGGTTTTTTAATGACTATTCCATATATATTTAGACAAGTTTTTTTAAAATCACTATTTTATTCTTTAATTTGTTAAACCAATACCAATACAAAAAATAGAAAATATTTTTTAAACACAATATCAATATTTTGAACCAATACCAATACAATATTTTGTTAATCTTGGATTTTTAATATTGTTCCCAACCCTACCTATAAGTTACTAAAATTATATATAAATACAGAAAATATTCCTTATCTCCAGTTATACATTGCTTAAAAATCTTATAGGCGTAATATAAATTCAAAATGACTAAAAAGCACATTGTCAAATTGTCTCAAATTTACAGGATAGAAGTTGTTTTTTTAAATTTGAAATAAAAAATCTCATTTTGCCGGAAATGGATTCTATCATGTGTAGAATATCTACTATCGGAATTGAAAGAAAAGAATATAGAAAGATTCTATTAAGGATAAATACATCATTCTTGGGATAGTTTATGAGAAAAAATAAATAATTAAAAGTGAAATTTTAAATGACAAATAAATCAAGTTCTAAAAACAAATAATATACCCTTAGATGAGGATCATCTGAATGTGGATTGTCTTGACAAGTGAATATGTATATCTTCTTCGGTCCCATTTTATATTTGCTAATTCGATAAAAATTTAAAAAAAAATATATATTGTTGTAGGTTGAGAAAAAATTAAATGAAGACATTTCTATTTCATTTAATTAGGTCAAAAAATACTACTCTCATTACATTTAAATGATCAGTTTATCCCAAAAAAAGAGGAAAAGAGGGTAAGGGAGGGGGGGGGGGGGGGTGATTTAGTATTTTACACATAAATATTCTGACTTTTTCCTTGTAGATTTTTTTTTGTCCTTATTCTATATGGCATCAATGGTACTTTTTTCGTTCATTTACATAAAATGTCATCCCTTGTCTTCCTAAATATTCTATTTCTATTCTACCATCAAACCTTTGACCACACGCGCTTTAAATATGAATAATTTAATATATTTTTTAAGTACGCATATTAATCTATAAAGAAGCCACACATTCATTTAGGTAAAATTAGTATAAGAAATATTGTTACGTTGCTATTTTTCCATGCTACAAATCAATTCGATATAATTCAACCAAATAAACCAATCTATGATGTAGACATCCACTCCACTCATGCCTTCATTACAGTTTTTTCTATGAAATTTTAATGTTGAAAAAACTTTATTGGCTAATGAACACCATCTGCCTTTTACTTGAGTGAGACACTCACAAAGGATGAAGATGGTGTGACAGATATCATTCTTAAATGTTTTGCAATAAATTGAAAATGATGGTAATGAGGTGAGTGATTCCATTTTTATTACATTCTGTAGTAGTGAATATGAGGTTGCTTTATAAATGTCACATGAATTATCTAATTGCTGGAAAATATATAATATATTTAGGTTTGAAGTAGCATGTGGTCGATGTTATGATGATGTTGGTCAGAGGGATTAGGAATAGTGGGAGGAGATCTTCATGTGAGAAGAATACATAATGTATTTTTCCATCATATATTGTGCCAGTAGCATATTTTTCTTTAAAAATAAACCTATGTATAAACTGATTAGAGCATATCCAGAGGCTTTCAGCTATAGAGGCTTGATAATTGTTGTCTTTATTATGGTGACCAAATGGGAAATTGATAATTTCTTTTTCAATATCTAAAAATTGAAAAAATAAACCAGATTTTATATATTATTTAATTAAATGAGGTTTTTAACCCGGATAACATATATTATAAAAATCAAGCATTCATAGGATTGGTACAGACTCATTATAAAAATCAAGCATTCTAGGATTGGTACAGACTCAAATTTTAAACTCAGTTGTAACTTATTTATCTCAATGATATTTATAAAATGTATTTTTAAAAACATTCATCAATCTGATAAGATAATTATTTTGTAAAGCTAATTTAATAATAACAATTTTAAGATTTCCCAAAAAATTATTAAAATTGAAAAAACAATTTACCATAGATTATAATATGATGGATTAGTTATAAATATTTTTAAAAAAGTATATAAAGATGATGACTATGAATTTTGAAAATAATGTAAAAAATGTGTAAGTGAGGGAATAAAATTAATGAGTAAAAAAAATAATGAACTAGAAAAGGGATTAAATATATATTAAAAGAATTAGAAAGAAGGTCATCCCAGGTGTGGATGCTGATTGGCAGAGGCAAAATTCTTTATAGTGATTTTAAAAATTTGTAGCTATTTTTTTCCCCTAGCAATTTGATTAAATTAAAAAGATAAATTATAAAAAATTAACAAGAAATCCTTGATATCTCAAGTGCATATTAAAGGAACTAAAACTTTTATACATGTTTTTTTTAAAGCTACATAATAATAAAAAAAAATCCAGATAGCCATATTAATAAGGTTTTAAGCAATAAATATTTTATAAACTCTTCATCTCGAGTTAGTATAAATCCTATAAAAAAATTTTCAAGGTTAAAAAAAATATTTATAATTATTTTATAAAAAAAATATACATAATATAATATATATTTTTATCATTTGCTTCCACTTAATAAAAAAATTATACCTTTCATAAATTTTTCTATCTTCTTAATACTTTCTGCCCCTAAATGATCAAACTCCTTGAATAAAAAATAAATGAATTATATAATATGATAAAGTTTTAAATTTTAAAAACAAAACCTATGTTATAACTCTTGTCATAATCAATATATTTTTTAAAAATTTCACTTATATATTCAGTGATATGTATATTTAATATTATAATCATTACAATAAATAATTTTATCCTATTTAATATAGCATTGCATTCCAACAGTAAAAACTTAATTTTTGAATTGAGTAGTAAATTTTAAAAAAAATTAACCTGATAAATGAATATGTGTTTAAAATTATTAGAGTTCTTAGTTTTTTCCTGAAATGAATAGTATTACATGATAATTTTAAGGATAATTACTGAGTGGAACAATATTAGACAAACTAAATTTTTTTCATTAGATATGATATCACACAGCATCCAATCTCTTATGGCCTATATCTTATAATGAACATGTAACATATTTTAAAAAAAACCTTAAGAGATTTGTAAATGGGTGATGATTTAGCATCATCCTTTGTTTGGAACATATGTGGTTGAACATCAAGTAAAAAACATATCCCATCTCTTTGATTATAAGATTCGTCTTCAAGCTAATAATAGGCATATAGAGTCTATTCATTATTAATAATTTACATTTTCTATATCGTAATAATCATTTTCATCTAAAATATTTCTCCAAGTTTTGATTTGGTCCATTTCAAAAAAAAATCGATTCACAGCTGCTTCAAATGCATGAGTGCAGCTAATGATAATTTTTTTAACAATTTACCAATGCTGCATTTGCCTGCTTTCAATTAATACGAATTTAGTATACATATATAAATATAATAATTTTACATTATTTTTGAACACTTCGACGCTAATCCCACTAACTGTGAAAGCAGGGGAATCTTGGTGTACTGAATGTATTCCAAAAGTATTGATCAGTAGTTTTTTTATAATGCTAGATATATTTTTGACTAAATATTATCAAAAATTCTAAAACTTACATTTATGAAATATTTTTTGGCAGCAAAATATAGGATTATTATTAATTTACTTACTTTAGATCATTCTTATGCAACTTCATAAGCAATTATATAATTAGAATATTAATATTTTTAATGAAACTAACTTACTATAGAATTTTAGATAAGAATAATATATAATTGTATTATTTTGTATTTGTATATAATTATTTATTCTTGTAAATTACTATTATTAATATGGGTTGTTTAATTGATTTTTTTATCTTATATAATAAATGCAATATAATTTCTAAATATTAATTAATAAAAATAATTTTTTATTTCCTTTAAATTCTGTTTAATTAATATTGTTCAATTGTGTCTATAAGCTATAATGTTGTTAGCGCTACTATATGGCGATACTTTTTCAGTAGCTGTAGCTTTAGGGCCTTACTTAAACATAACTAGTAGCTTCAACTTAAATAAACATTTAATAATAATATATCAATATAAATTTAATATCAATATGTAGTCCTGTCCTATAATATTTAACATAAAATTTGAATCAAAGTTGTATCTATAATTGTTTTCGAACTACAGTAGTTTATATGAAAGTTATTTTCTGGCCTAGTCCAACCAAACATGATAATTCAAAAATATAATGTAAATTACAATAAATAATTAATACTAACATCTAATTTTACCATTAGATATCCATTTTACATGATAATATTTCATAAATTATTATCCTTATTATCTGAATGTTAAACATGCTTATAATTAATTACTCATCTATTTATATATTTATAAAGTTTATTAAAAGATACTAAATGATCAATTCAATCCTTGATGACCAGATTTTGAGGAGAAATTGGTTTAATAGATAAAAAGTTAAAGGGTGGTAGCTTGGCCAGTCATTAAACATGGTCATGTTAATGTCACTTATCTGTCTTACTGACATATTTTAGATATTTCGAACTATTACAATTATAATTAGGCCTGACCCTAACAACAGTTTTATTATTTTAAATGTCTATCTACTATATCATGAATATTGTTTGTAAATAATATAAGTTAATACTAAAATTCTCTAGATGTAATTTTAATTAATATAATATAAGCATTGTTAAATATTTTCTGATCTCTTTTTATATTTAGAATCCCCATCAAATTTGCAGTTGTATATTCAAGCTCAGTCCCAGCGTCTACATGGCAGAAAATTTGATGGAGGCAACCCCCATCCCAAATCTACCCCTACCCCCCTAAAAAAATTTCGTGGCCTTCGGCCGCGATATTTGCCTTAATCAAGAAAATCTTATATTAAGTCACTATTTATACCCTTACAAACATTCAGACCTGCTTTGGAAAAAAAAATTTACAAACTGATAACTATTGTTACTATCCGTTTTCAATTAACTTATATTTAAGTAGGTAGTGCAATCTTTTCATAATTTGATTGATAATCAATTTATTTTCATAAAAATTAATATAATAGTATTAAATGAGATAACATATTTACATTACTATAAAAAAATATCAAAAATTTAGTAAAAAAATATAAGATGAGTAATTTTAAAGAGGTATAGCTTGATTCTATAATTACTAATACCTTTATATTAAGTAAAAAAAACAAAATGAGTAATTTTAAAGAGGTATAGCTTGATTCTATAAATACTAATGCCTTTATATTAATTAAAAACATTCATATAGATATAACTATTATATAAAAAAAATTTTTATGTAAATATAACTTTTATATAAAATATTAGAATAAAGAATATAGTATATTTTGCACAAGAATTATAAAAACATTTATGTAAATATAACTATTATATAAAATATAAAATGAATAGAGTATATTTTGCACTGGAAATATAAATTTTTTTATGTAAATATAACTTTTATATAAAATATGAGAAAAAAATGAATATAGTTGCACTGGAATTATAAAAACATCTATGTAAATATAAGTTTTATATAAAATATTAAAATAAAATGAATATAATATATTTTGCACTGGAATTATAAAAACATTTATGTAAATATAACTATTATAAAATATTTAAATAAAATGAATATAGTATTATATTATGCACCGGACTAGAATGATATAAAAAACTATTAAATTAAATTTACATTATTAAAAAGGCGTATATAATTAGCTGTGAAAAAGATATAACTTATTTTATTAATAATTTAGTTAATCTTTTAGACGTAGATGCAAATCGCGTTATAATGTCGTCTATTTTAAATCTTTCAAAAACATCAATTTCGCTGGATATTAGAAGTAAATTTTCTAAAAAGGGGTCAGAAATTTTATTCCGCATTCTAGTTTTATTTATTTTGACTTTGCTCATCACTCTTTCGGCTGAACAAGAAGTAGTTGGTAGAGTCAATAAATATTTATATAATAAATATAAATTAGAATAAGAATTTAATTTATTTAAAAGACGATATGGTAGTATAAATGAATATTTTATCCATTTTTTTGTATTAATTATGTTATCGTTATTGATATCTTCCTCGGTTTCATCGTTTACAATACCTTTAATTATATATAATTTTAAATAAAATATCAATAAATTACTTTCATCAATATATAACCCATCATTCTTTTTTATTTTCAAAAGATCCTTGCAATAAATGATTGCTTGTGAATCCAAATATAAAGATCGAAAATCATTATATTCACGAGCAATATCTTGAGCATTTAATTGGTAAGTATGACAAATTTGAGATATTTGCCACCCTTCTATTCTATCATTGGCTATAATTCCAGCTGGTGTAAAAAGAGATATTTGAGATAAAAAATTTAAACAATCATAATTAAATCTTTCATTTAAATCATTAATGATTGTATCAAGCACAGGGAAAAATATTTCCCTTTTATATCTATAATGCTAAATAATAATTTTAAATCTTTTTTTATTCAACTTGTTTTTTTTTTGTTTAACATAATTATTGAATGCTGTTTGATCAAATTTGAATATTGATTTTATATTATGCAATTCCGTTGTAACATTATTCTTTTTCAAATAACTGTTAGATAAGGAATGCAATTTTAAAAAAATATTATCCCCATTAGCTACATTTTAAAATTATTTATAGAAATCGTAACTAATTTTAACCTCTTAGTCTTTGTAATTTATTTTTTGTGTGTTGTATTAATTTAGTTACCATAGCCAAATCATTACCAACTGCCTGCATTTCAATACAAGCCTCATGTGTGCATTTCAATATTTCTTTCAAAATAAATAGACTTAATATGAAATCTTCATCCTTAATTCTTGTTAATAATCCATCGGCAATAGAAGAGGTGCTTGGGTCATTAGAATCTTTTAATTCATTTAATGATGCTATAATATGTTCATAAACATCTAAAAAAATTTCTACAGCTTTATAAGATGATGACCAATTTCTAAAAAAAGATAAGTTACATTAAAAATATTATATTTACCTTGTTGTATTTTTTATTCTTTTAAGAGATTTTTTAGACTTTGTCATTTGATATTTAACAAACACTCCTTGACGTCTTACCCCATTCATGAAATTATATAACTCATCCAATATTCCCATTACCTTTTTCATTTCTATTTTGCATCCACAAACATGAGCAACTACTAAATTGAGCCTATGTGCATGGCACCAAATATATATGGCTTTTGGAGCCTCTTTCAATATTAAAGCCTGCATTCCTTTGTATACTCCTCTCATATTCCCTGCACCATCCATACTTTGCCCAACCATATAATCAAGAGGAAGACCAAGATCTTTGAACTTAGAAAAAACATGTTTCTTTATATTTTCCCCGGTGGTTTCTGATGTTGTAAAAACATGGATGATCCTTTCTACAGGATGTGGATGCGGATCATCTTCTATATATCTTACAAGTAAAGCAATGCATTCTTTTTTAGACACATCATATGTTCCATCTAATATGATGCTATAGGCACAATTCTCTTTAATTTTTTGAATAATACATTTTATTATTTTTATCTTAATGACTTCAATAATTTTTTTCACATGGCCATATGACAATAAATTTATATAAGGTCTTGAAATTTTATCTGATTTTTTTCTCCTCAATTTTTCGTTGTTATCAATGTATGCCCGTAAAGTTGGAACCGTTTTTGCCATTAATTTTATGAGGCACATAAAATTACCTTCATTCGAATTAGTGCCCCAAAAGGCTATGTTACATTTTATAAGGTATATAATGGCATCAATAATATTATGAACTATATTACGATTTTCCATTATTATATCAAGCCTATTTGATAGAAAATGATCTTGAATACGCTTATTTGCAAGCCAAGTCATGTTGGTGTATTCACAATCCTTATGAATAGAAGATGACTCATGTCTCTCTAAGTCACGCTTAAAATTTTTCCAATTATTTACTCCAAGTTGAGTCCAAAAAGTATTGGATTTAGGGCCACCAAACATAAGACAATAAAGACAAAAGACTTTGTCTAAAGTGGTGCTATAGGATAACCAATTTCTTGGTTTGAGGGAACCATCAATATTAACCTTTTTATAATAGGATATATTCATGCTCCTATTTAAAAGTAGAAATAATGGATGCGTAAAAATTAATAAAAATTAAATTTTTTAAAAACCTTTTGTGAGTAACAGGATATTGAAATATATTTGAACATGGCTGACATGGGCCTATGGAAATTATGAAATTAATCAAGATATTTGTCATTCTAAAGAATATGAAATGAAAAGGGTCATTAGGCTCC